CCCTCCCCCCAAACTTTCAGCTTTCTAGATTCCCTGACTCCCGAGATAATTTACCCACAAAAATTTCCATAAGGGCGCAGGTGATACTCAAGAGCGCGGGGACGCTGAATCTGAATTTGCAAGGCCCTTTGTAAGCAGGAGGCCATTGTCCAAAAACTTCAGTTCCCGCAGTTCCCCTGATAATAATTTCCCCACCAAAAATTATAGGGGGCCATATGTGACATCCGCAGGAACGAGAAGGCTGAATTTAAATATGAGGGATCGCACGTGGGTAGGGGACAGGCCCGCAAAATCACAGCCTTCTATTTTTCGCAGCTCCTGAGATAATTTTTCACGTCAAAACTTTTTACGGTGCCGTATTTGTTAACCGGGGCAGGGGACATAACCACAAAATTTCAACCTTCTAACTCCCATGATCCCCGCGACAATAATTTTACCCACCAAAACTTACGGCGCCGTACGTGTTAACAGCAGGCAAGGAATGGCTGAATTTGAATTTGCGAGGTCACATATGGATGGGCAACATACCTCCAAATTTTCAGCTTCCTGGCATCTGTTGTTCCCGAGTAGAAAGTTGTGGACAAGTTGAAACAAACATACACAGACACGTACACAAACACACACACAGACAACCCCATGACAGTATGAGTTTTGTGCAGCTGTTGCACAGCACAAAACGCATAAAAATAAAAACCTGTGAATTTCAGAAAATCATGTGTTCGGTGCGAACAAACTGAATTGCATTATCAGTCCGAATCTTAGAATCATGCAAAATACATTAGAAAGGCAGACAAAGAACGGGGAATGCTATCGACAAAATCTGTTTAACTCCAGCACGATGAAACACGTTTTTCCCGAGAAGTTTGCACAAAAAATACAAGTCAGGTGCAGTAATTCAATAAAAAGCAAGTTAAACCTGTCTTTTCGCTGGCGGTCCTGCTGACTTGTCACTTCCATGCCTTTTCGGACCAACAAGTGGGATGGGACTAATTCGTGCCAGCTGTGTACTTGAGGTGATGATCGAAGTAGCTATCTGAGCAAGAAGTGCATCCGGCAGTTTATTAGCTTTAATTTGTTTTGCTACTCGAATAATCTCCACTGGTGATCTAGTTGTGCCTGAAATACCAGATCACATCAGTAACACTACGAAAGAAAAGGCAAATCATCTAATTCTCCAGTTCACTGCAAAACTGCCTTCACTCAGTGCAAAACCCATGGCTGTCGAATGAATTTAATCAAAGACAGCACCAAATGGCAAGGAGCACCATCAAAAGTCACAGGATTTGATTGTAACTACAACCGTAAATTCAACGCACACAGACTATGCCTATGCGTTCCTAGTTACAATCTCGAACAGTACACAGATATGGGTCAGGGCACGGAATGGGCAGCAGTGTCGATACCAGGTCACTGATAGTGAGAGGGACGAGGGCAAGACAATTTCAACCAGAACCATTTCGACAGAGTGCGGTAAAAGCAAGTCAAAGCGCCACGCGCTCAATGCCACAAAAAAAAAACCTAAGAAACTCAACAACCTGTTAAAAAAGGGAAATCCACAACAGTGCTTACAATAGTGCTTGATTGCGGGTCCAGAGATTGGCAAGAAAGGACGGCGAGCGGAGCGTCGAATGTTGAATAACGATTTTGGTGCTAAACGCCGTGCGATTCGCATCGAAAGTGTCGTATTCAGGTAGAATGCAACGCGTGTTTTCGGCCCAGTGGGCATCGCCTCTCCAATCGGTTTCTGATGCTGCAACTGCAAATGACCGGAGAGCAGACGCATCGCCTGTCCACTTCCTGGGCGAATTGAAACCCCGTCTTTTGTCTAAAACGTTTTCAACCACGCTTGATTTTTGCAAAACGAAAGCAGCCGCGGTCTGATACATACGTCAGAACTAGTCATCCACGCCGCGATCTGTCAGTGGCTCAGGAAGTGAAAAGCGTACGAGACTGACGAATTGATTTAACAATTCGCAGCTATGAGCAAATGAAACCTCACCAGTTTCAAACTCCACGCAGTTTTTAGAAGCAATGATTGCTCTGATTCTCAGTGTGTCTCAAAAGCCTGCACCTTTCTCATTTTCAAGGTTACAGGGAGGGGTTTTTCATCCCTGTGTTACGTTTTTCCCTTAGAATTGTTTTTATGTATGCCGTACGCCATTTTCCGGAAATAACGTTCCTTTGCAGTTACTATAAAACTGTAGAGAAGGTGACAGTGACTACTAGACAGAGAGAATGACAAGGCGCCGGCGCGCAAAACAACGACATAAGGCGGCAAACACCACCTGCTCAATCTTCATTTTGAATCTCAGACAGATATAATCCTTATTTTACTTCTAGTAACCGAAATTGAGTCGTTTTTGTGAAAATTCCTTCGGGAGGGGGGAGGGGGGAGGGGGGAAGGGAAAACGCATCATCGAAAGAACTGAGTTTCCACTAACTGATGAAGAGACTCAAGATGACGATTGGTCATCGGCCCAATCTTCACCTTGAGTTTTATCTTTTAAAACTTACATGATAATTCCCAAAACTGACTTTCCCCCATGTCAGTGGATATAACCAGGTCACAGTGGCCTGGCCACGAAATGGAGTTGTGATATAAGAAAAACTGACAAAAATTAAGTACGATAAAACATCAATTTCACGGACGCTAACATCTCACCATTCAAAGAACGTGACACAGTAACTCAGCACGACTTACCGATGACCCGCTTGTGGATGACACAGTTCGGCTGAGACTGGTGACTAAAGTTGACTGCGAGCATTTTTGCATTTGTAATTGAAGCAATGCCTCCTGGCTTGACGCGCCGTCAAGATCGTACGATTCTACAAATAAACAGCCCATTATTACACTATTTTATCCAACGCAAACATATACAATTCTACTTTTATCATTAGCAACGGAAACTGAACTGTTTTTTGTTAAAATTCCTTCAATGAAAAAAAAAAAAAAAAAAAAAAAAACGCATCGTCGAAAGAACTGAGGTTCATCTAACTAATGAATAACATAACGATGCCGCTAGTAAAAAAGTCAGCCAAACCGCAACAACCGAAGCACAGATGGCGATCATGCGATCACGAAACAACTGTTAAACCCAAAATAAGCTCCGCAATCCTTTTGAAAACAAAAGGAAGTCAGTACGCTCGCGCTCTTTCTGTTGTTGATTACTTCAAACACCGTTATCTCCGCATATAAGTATGCTAACGCTCCATTTTCATGCGTTTTTTTGCGACTATGCAGTGCAGAAAACGCATATTGACAAGAGGTTGTGTGTGTGTGTATGCGGTGGGCCTCTGTACCAATTTTTCATTTCGAGACCTACAAAAGCTACAGAGCTGAAACTTTGGGAACTTAATCTACATGCATGTACAGGCCCCCAACCCTAAAATGGGCGGTCTTACCCGCGTGGTACCCACACAAGGGTTCGTAAAAGTTTTCTGTGGGTAAGCGGCTAACTCGGGAGCCAAGAAAGCTGGAAAGTTGAAATTTTAAGGGGATGTTCCCCCGTCCACGTAAATCTTAATGAGCTTTAAACCAGTCTCCTGGTGCGCGTAATACCCACGTACGGGCCCACCAAAGTTTTTTCCGGTAAGTTGTTAACTCAAGAAACTGAAAAGCTAGAAGACTGGAATTTTAAGGGGAAGTTCCCCGTCCACGTAGGTCCCAATGAGTTCAAATCTAGCCCCCAGGTATGCATGGTTCTTATCCAGGAGCCCGTGAAAGTTTTTTAGGGGAGTTACTAACTCGGGAACCTGAAAAGCTAGAAGACTGAAATTTTAAGGGGATTCTTCCCATCCAAGTAGGTGCTAAAGAGTTCAAACACCGCACTCGGGAATGTGTGGTACCCATACATGGTCTCACCAATTTTCTCTGGGCAAGTTGATAACTCGGGAACCTGAGAAGCTAGAAGACTGGAATTTTGAAGGGATGTTTCCTGACACTTCTGGTGGCCAGTCTGAAATTCTTTTGGCTAGAAGCATCTGCCGGAAAAAACAGTGCCGTTAGCGACAAAAACCTGCGGGGAACCATGTGAAAAACGCATCATCGCACGGGAAGTCCATGCGCTGGCCAATTATTTTTTTTTTTGCTTGATGAGATTTTGAACTGGGAAAACAGTCGCACAACCTGTTTGACAGTTGCGCTTCTGTTCCATCCCTCTAAAACCCCACTGGAACAAAAAGCCCAAAACTTCTGTTTGAATATGATTTTTTTAGCTCTTCCCAAACCCAGAAACAAGTGCATTTTCTCCAAAAACTAGCATATGCTGCGAAGCAAGGTCGAATTTTAGAAACTGCCGAAGGGAAAAAGGGTGCAGGATTTCGGACAATAAAAGCGATTCAAACACAAAACTATGGGTAACTGATCCTGATCGGCCCATCCATAAATAAAAATCAAAATGTCCGAGAAGCATACTGTGTATCACCAGTCAACAATATCGGGTGAGCAAAAAACGCCCGATGAAGATGAGACAAAAGTGGTTAACGTAGAAGAAGCACAGCATGCAACTGACCGTACTGATGGACTCTTTTAAGTCCGCCAAATTTCTTCCACTGCGTCCAGCAAGTGCCACACAATCGTAACTGCAGATATGCCGGACCCCATGCGTACCACTGTGGAGATTCTTCCATCTGACAGCTTTCACAAGCAGAAGTGCCCTTCATCGGTTGCCCGCTCGGATTTGGTGGCCCAACAAGATTCGGATTCGGTTTATTGTAGTTCGGTATGTATACCTGTTTTAGTTTACTTTCCTGCTCTACTGTCTTGGATTTCTTCACCTCCACATAACGATTTGTTGTTTTCCACATGTAATAGTACTCGACAATGTCACGAATCGACTTCCACGGCAAATAATCGGCGCGAACATCGCTGAAGTCTTTCCCATACTTTTCGATTGCTTCTTCGAAAAGATTTGCTTCCGCAGCTGACCACTCTTCTATTTGATCACGACACAGCACCGGACCACCCAAGCTCACTGTATTGTGCAGTGTTGTCTTATCAGCATCCAGTGGATAGTGCTGCTTGCTTGGCGGTGGCACCAAGTATCTCACTGCCTGAAATATTTACCTGCCCATAAAACAAAACTGCGGCAGGTCGGCAGCGTATGAAACTGCCAGTAAGGCAGAACGAAAGAAAACAGTTTTCGGCATTGACCTCACACTACTGAGCTCCTGAAAGCGTAAGGATGATCAGAACGAGATGAACCGTATTTTCTCTAACTACCTTCTCGTTTTCTTTTCAAATAAACGGGCAGTTCACTGGTTCTCGGCTAAACTTTTAAACATACCTCATAATCCACTGAGCAGCTTAACTTTTTTTTGCACTGCCTTCCTTTCATATTCATATGCTGGAATTATGTATGTTCTGCTAACGAATGTAAAGTTTGCTGGAGAAACGAATGTGTGCAGCATGTTTAAAAGTGCTTAAGTACAGAAAGCGGAAGTCGAAAGACAAAGCCATGCAACTTCCCGAACCGACTTGTTACTCAACGCCTTAAAAGAGCTTCAAATTTCCGACCTAACTAAATTTGATTGCAATAAATGCAATAGGTATTTTGTCTTAAAGGTTTGCCCTCGCCTTTCTTATTTGCGTTTTTCAAATGTGCCGAAGATCTCAGTCTGTTTCCTTTGCGGAATTAGTGCCGGCGTGCATAGAAGGTCATGAACTTGCTCAAACAGTACTCAGTCACTTAAATTACCAGTAAGTAAATTTGACAGCCCTCGAATACAGAATCTAGTACTTCGCTTCACAAAGGATATGGCAATGATTTGAGGATTTCCGTTGGAAAAGAATCAATAGTGGAAACAGCACCTAATGACGGCTCATTCTTCGCATCCCATTTTTTAACCTGACTCCTCGTAGCGTCGTTGCAAGTGGTTTTTAGCTCAGGGCAATGTAGATGGATGTAGTGGTGCTTCCCGGCGTGTAGCGAATGTGCCATAATTTCGCATGCTTTGTGTAAATGGTGCTGTGCTAAGTGCAAGTAACACTGCTGCTGCAGCACAACTTCACACTTATTTTCGCATACGTACCAGTCAATCCCTTCTCGCATGTGCTGAATGTTTTGCATCCTCAATCGATCGGAAACGCAAGTAAATGCCATACAAAATCAAAAAAATGGACAGGTATCCTACATTCCCAGTCAAAACCATCAACGCCTTTTGAAATCTAAGAAGATGCAAACTCTGTTCTCATACAAACTATTCCTAAATGGTCAACGGAAAATAGGGAAGGCCATTTTAAAACAAAAATATACGTATGCCCAGTCAGCAGATATGGTATATTAGATGAGTCAAACCCTGAAAATCTTCCCGGAGAAATTGCTGAGCTTTCATCGTCATTTAGATACAAGGGTTAAGCTCAAAGTTTCTTCTTTCCTACACTCTCATAACATGTTTGTTCAGAATTCAGCTGCTGGCTCAGTTTCTTTAACGTTTACTTTATACTTATTTCCACAATCAACAAGTTGTTCGGTCCTTCAGTATCATCTGTCATAAAATTTTACCGACATTTGCAAGACTGATTCAGTACCCGCAGTATGCTTGTCCATAGCATTCGCTGCTCAGTACTCACCTGGCCAATATCATAATTTGCTTGGTGCAACAAAGCCATCGCATGGAAAAGCGTCACATCACGACTGGCAGCTGCAGCAGTCATATGAAGAGATGGTAGCTTCATTGATGATGACGTATCCAGCGCCCGTGAAAATGTCCCAACAGCTCTGGAATTTAGAAGGCAACCACTGACTGCAGAGATCTCTAACAAAACAAAGTTATCTGCGAGAAATCAAAAAGAACGATGCCGAAACTGCTACTTTTACTCAGTTATTTTTAAAGGTTCGCAAAATAACCTCGCTACTATCAGGAACTGGTCGATGTCACGGTCCGACAAGGCATGATATGGATGATAAACGAGAGTTTCACGCTCCGTTGGTTCCGGCTGCTCTTCTTCGCCTTCATCAATAACCAGACCAATGGAGTCGCTGTAAGAAATGACGTAAGAAGCGAGCTGAAGAGCAGGTGACCAGCTATCCAATAACTAATCATCACGACAACACTCCGTTCCCTGACCAAAAAATCGCTTAAAAGGTTCCACTTCAAAAACATCAATTACGAAGAGAACTGACAAATCATTCGCCGACTGAACGCTTAATCTGGCCGAGTGGGGAAATAACATACGAACGAGTGGAAAAACAGTTGCCCATTACACTAATTCTCGAATAAATTTGTTTCATAAAGGGCCAGCTTCATGCTCACCTTGCATATTAGTATCGCTCCGCTTTTGAATCCACCAAAGAGGTTTTAAAATTTCACCAAAATTTTAAGTTTACCCGTTTTCTCTGTTATCATCAGCAAGCGCATCTTCGGCCATATCATCTGGTACAACGCACTGGTACTTCTCGCCAACTCTTATCTCACCTTTGTCCGCTAACATCGTCCTTGCCTCAGGGTCATACACCAGTGAATAAAAGAATGAGTCCTGCAAAAAGCAGCATCCTTCCTCCGTACCCTCTGAGGTAACAATATGCAAAAGAAATAAAAATGACGTCAAAAAATAGAAAAATCTTTGAGACGTGTGTGACCGGCCAAAGTGACCCCTTCATCAATTTTTCAGCTCTCTATCTCAATAATGAATTATAGCAGGACTTCATGTAACATAATTATTTATAAAAGCATAAGAAGTTTACTTATTCGAACAAGTGGCAACAAGACCTAATTTACTCAAAACCCTTAATTACTTAAAATATTCCCACATGCTACTTCATATGCTTGTACATAAAAAGCAGTTGCACGTGAAATTTGAACTTCTGCAGTCGTACATGAATAAAGAGCAAGAAACACCTCCCTCGCTCCCGCGCTTTAGTATTTCACCTCTCTACCTTATCTAGCTTGCAAGCCAGAAAGATGTAAAACAATCTTCCGCCAAAACTCACTTGTGTGCAAATGATGCCGAAGCATATATGCTCACTGACCGGAAACACCCTCCTCAGTTTTCTATCTTTTCTGGTCCCCGAGCTGGTAAAGCTTTCACTTTTTCGTGTGTAAGGCCTAGTCGCTTGTGGGAAGTAAACTGAACCCTAGGGTTGCAAACTCACAAGAGGTGTTCTCCTAAAATCTCAACTTTCTATACTATGTGGCCTCCGAATTGGTAAACTCTCCGCCAAAACTTTTTTGTGTTCGTAACTAGACAAATGTAACGTCTTAATTTAAAATAGCGGGGTTGTACACGGTCTGGGGAAATCTTCCTAAAATTTCAGCTTCCCAGGTTTCGTGATGCTCAGCTGAAAACATAGAGCAAAAACATAAGTAAGCACATCACACAAAAACAACCAAACATACAAACAGTTGTACCGATGTCGTACTGCAAAACGCATAAAAATACGAAACTCACGTCGCGTTCCAAATACATTTCCGGTGTTTCGACCTCGCTCAGCAGAGTCACGGTGCATTTTCCGCGGATATGTGCTGCAGGAAGTGACTCCACTTGTCGTGTCAGAAAAAGCTCATGCTGTCTAAAATAGGACTGAGTGATTCAGAGCTGTTTATTGTACTCTCAATTTTCCGATGCTCTAGTATTCCTCACGCTTTAGCCGGATGTTACTCACACTCATCCATTGATGAAACTCGACTCGGCGTGTCTTGAGCATGCAGCAAGTCAAGAAAAATAAATCGGCTGGAACATCGGCCGCGCATATTCATCAATGCATATACAGTTCGGAGAGAAATAACTCCGTCAGGACTAAATTCTAGTAATGTGCACATTCGCAAGAGGAAAATGAAAAGAGAGGAAGGGCGAGGGAGGGAAGAAGGAGGGTCAGCCACGGGAACGAGAAGATTCTGCTGGGCTTGTTTTTCCTATCTGAAATGCATTCAATCACCATCCACACATTTCCAATTGAAACATCTCATCCTGTAATGGGAGTGACAACAAACTGATCAGTGGTGACATCTAGTGAAGCAAGGAGTTTCAACAGTCCTGAGAAGACAGCGGATCGCATTTCTGTCTAGCCGCTGTCAGCCTGATCGGCAAGCCGCAGTACAGATGAAGCTTTACGGATAACGCCGAATGTATGCTATACGAGGTGAAATGAGGAAAATGAATTAAACTGTATATTCAGCAGATAGACGTGCAGCTCCGGAACAGCAACTAGAGGGAAAAGAGGGACTACTGGGAACTTTGCGTAATCAAAGGATGCCGTAGCGAAATGGACTGGACCTCTCGATATGCATCTACAACTGTAAGTCAGCGAACGAACAATCATTTCCAGGGACCAACGGGTCATCATGTAACGTTTACGGTAAATGTGAAATACGATGAAATGCCAAGCATATCGTTTAGACCGTAAACCAATTTTTTGAGCCGTAATTTTTGATTTCCATTACTAAACAATGGCATGGTACTGAAACCCACCACCTTTTCTCTCTTTCTTTGTTTTTTTTTTTTTCTTTTGAATAAAGCAGTCCAAAGAATTTTCTTTAATTTGGTAAACAAAAGTAATTGCTCATTAAAACTTCAGTAATTGCTCAATACTACAGCAATTTGCAATAACTCGCTGGATTGATAATAACTGAGTCAAGAACAGTCGGACTAAAGCCCCCAAGAGTTTTCAGCCCCGTGGCACTTAAATTTGTGGCAGCCGGACTGACCTGATCTGACTTAATGCCCATCGTTCACAGCGCGGCGTTCTCAATCGACACTGTCTGTTCGAACGGAAGCATATGAATCGCTAGTGTTTAAAAACTCACATACTATCCGAGCGCAACCTTATTCCAAACTTTGTCTCAGCGCGAGGCAAAAACAGCGTAAACCTTGTGAATCTATTTGTTAGAGCGAACAAATATTTGGTGAATAAAATAGGAACAGACCTTAAAAGATGGCGTTCCCGAGAAGACAAGTTCTCTGCACCCTTCGGAAGACCAGCAAGGCCAAAGCCACCTTCAACTAGACGCTCTTCTTCCTCTGATTTTTCCTTCTCTTCTCTTTCTATTTCATCTGAAACTGGATTTTACTTCTGTGAAAGTGAAGGGCTGCTCAAAATCGAGCAGGCGGCAGTACCGCCGCCACAAACCGACCCGTAAGGACCACTGTGCAAGCAAACCTGCTACTGCCTAAAAACGATGTTAAAGACTTTAGCAAAGAATAAATTCGATTTTCGTACGGGAGAACTCCAAAGATCAATCCCTAAAAGGATGATGAGGGAAAAAGGAAAACTTTTTAGATGAATGTATGAAAATACCTTTGATCGGGTCCGGCTTTTCTTCTTGTTCCTCTTCATCAACAGGATCAACAGGTTCTGGGCTCGGCGATTCACTTTCATCCCGTTTAACGGTGCTCTCCGAAGAGCCTTCGTCCATTACGGTATCCTGACTGCAGCCGTGTCCACTCTCCGATGAACTTTCATCACCTGGCAAAAATCAGCTTCTAGTAAAAACGCACTTTCAAAAACGCAGCTGAGGAGTTTGTTACCAATGACGCTGCAAAGTCTTCGATGATCCTATTTTTCTAAGAAACTGTTTCGACTACAGACGACTCCATGTACATCAGTGCAAAATTATCAACAAATCAATCTGTTATGGAGGTGAACTTTTTCGCAGAGTTAAAAAAAAAAAAGGACTCGCAAGTACAAAAAACCGTCACATCGTAAAATCATGTGCAAAAAAAAGGCCTCAATCAGGCGTGGTGTCATGGACATGCATCCTGAAATACCAGCAGTGGACAAGTTGTTATGCTTAGTGGACTTATAACAAACGAATCGGCCTATAACCGGACACAAGGAAGGCGGATGTTGCAGTAAACTGTATCTGAACGAATCCTGGGGTATCACTGTATAACAGCTAAAAGGCATGTGACGGCACAAACAAGCAGACCTTTCTTCGGTGTATCCGAGGAGGAATCACCATTTCTCTCCCTGGTATGAATGACTGGTGCAATAGCGAGTCGGCGTCGTGTATTCACAACTTTATCTGCAAGCAATGTATTTTAAAATATGAGAGATTTAATAAATTTAAACCACTACACCCCGAAAGCACATGAAGCTTAATGAACGATGGCGAGGATGCCAGAAGCGACCAGGGCATTTTAAAACAAATTCCGCATTAAATGCGACTTTGTAAATTTTTATTTAGTTCTTGTGAAGGAAAAGACAAATTAATAAGCGAGTTTGGGCAGTGAATCCGTCGGGGAGGATCTAAAATTCCACGTGCAAAATACCAAAATTACGCCAACTGGACGTGAGACCCTACTAGACCAAATACGGCAACACTGTACTCTAGGCTTAACTTCACAAGACAGCAATGCTGATGAAGTCGCTGGGATGGAGACAGATCCATACTACTAGAACCACAACTATTAAAGCACTTATTCTGGACAACTCAGGAAGTCTTCCAAATGTGAAGAATCTAAAGAACATGACTGGAAGACTTACCGATTCTTTCCGCACGATCAGCGATTTTGAGTAAAGAAACTGGCAAATCACGACGTCGGCAATAGCACAGCACCTTTGCTTCAACGTTCCCTGATGCTGTCTGAAAACAACTGCTTATAATTTGTTTAAAAAAAAAAAAAGTGATTTTGAAAATGCTTTGGTATACGGAATGTCGACGCATATGCTTGGTCGATCTAGCAATGACAATTAACCCAGCGCTGCCATGAACAAGACCCAAAAACAGTTACTAAGCAAGACCGTACAAGCACATTACGGCAGTGGGCAGTGCCATGTCTAACTTCAGGAAAAAAGAATTTCAGCAACTCTCACTCAAAATGACGTTCCTTTTTATGCGTTTTGTGCTATGTAACAGCAGTACAAAACGCACATTGTCACGGGGTTGTCTGTGTGTGTGTGTGTGTGTGTGTGCCCGCAGCAACTTGTCTGCAACTTCCAACTCGGGAACCACAAAAGCTAGGAAGCTGAAAATGTAGGGGAACGTTCCCCACCCAAGTGTGACCCCGCAAATTTAAATTCAGCTTCCCCGTAACCGCGGGTAACAAGTATGGCCCCGTGAAAGTTTTTTACAGGTAAATTAATATCTCGGGAACCACGGAGTCCAGGAGGCTGAAATTTTAGGGTAATGACCCCCTGTCCACTCTCAATCTTGCCCATTCAAATTCAGCGTTCCCGCGCTCTTGAGTATCACCTACGGCCTCGTGAAAATTCTGGCGGGTAAACTACTAACTCGGGAATCACGGAAAGATATTCACCCTTCAAGGTTTCGAATCCAGCTTTCATGCGCTGGTGCGTGAAATTTTTAACTATTTTCCAGTGTCTTGAACTATTTTTGCATAGACAAAAGTACAAAGCAGTGAAAATCATTAATAGGCAATCGTTCGATAGGCTGAATTGCACAAAACGCATGATCGCACCGGCTAGTCTGGTGCGCGTTGCTATTTATTGAGTTTTTGCAATGCAACGCTGCTACGCTGCCACACCCGAGTAGCAACACAGCAGGCTTGCCGGTGTGATCGTCCTTTTTTTAGCTAAATTTGAAATAATCAAATTATTAATAAAATGCATGGTTGCTGATCTACTGTTTAACATGTGCAATCATGTTACTGTGTTGGCGAAAAAAGGGGGTCGGCTGGGACGATAGTGCTGCATCATGAGGCCATGTAAAATCCTAAACTCCAAAATGCATTTCTGTAGTAAATTTTGCATGAGAGGAATTCTGAGTGACCGGTTTTCCACTGAGAATGCAAGTTCGACTTTTTTTTTAACATTTTAGCGTTGAATTCCCAGATTCTATAATCTTTCATCATAATTTAACGACTGTGAACTAATAAAAAAATTAAATAGGCGTTCGGTCAAATCTTCACTTTTTGGCTTGATTTTTTATGCATATTTTCCTTTATAAAAAAGTTTATGCCGCTCCGTTTCAAGCAATCCACTTGTCCTCTCTTACTTCTCCTGTATATATACACTGACAAAAGACACAGCACCACTGGTACTATGTCAACACAATAACCATTTTGTAATGTTTCGAACAACCATCGAAAAAACTCTTTCTTAAAATACTGGTACTAACCCGCCACTGCAATGAACAACGAATCGGGAAGCGGAATGACCTCTTACAGAATAGACCGACCCACAGCATACTCTAATGTTCAGGCAGAAGAGAAGTTATTCTAAAATAGTACAAAGATTACTTTGTTCAGTTCTTCGATTCTTCGTACTTGATATGGAGCGGAACTTGAAGCTTCGAAATACACAAAGTCTAAAAAAAAGGAACAATTTTCATTTGTTTTCACACAAACAAAGTTACCTCAAGGTGAGCATAACCTGCGTAAGCAATTATCCGTTTTTTAATGTTTTTCGGCATCCTATCTTTTTTCTCAAGCAAACCAACTGCTACTTCCGCGATTGTTAAACTACCGGAACTGACAACTCTCCCAAGCTGCGCAAAAAACTCGACCTGTCAGAATCGTTCAAAATCCGCTGCTGTGACTGAGCTATTTGCCCACCCTCGGCCTCATACGAACTGGCTTGCAATTTTTTGTGCTTTCCACCAGTTCACAAAATGGCCTGTTTCCGCTGCTGTGCAAAATGTCTTTTTTTTCTCAAAGAAGCCACTAAAAGGCTACTGCTGAGACTGGGCCGTGCACACGGCAAGCTGCTGTTAGAATCACTGCTAACTGCCTTTATCTTCGGCGTATCCGAGATCCAATTCTATCTCGACTCCCCAAAAGCTAAAAATTAGTGGCAAACAATTTCGTCTTCATTACTGCTAAAATAAACTCCCGGGAATCATTCCGCCCGTCAGTGTTCCTCTCTGGAATTCGCAGATAGCTCAAAGCTTGGCTTCTAAATCAACAGCAGCGACTCTTCGGCCACCCCCAGCAGCAAATATCAATTAGGATTCTAAGCAAAATTGCAAAAAAAAAAACAGCAAATTAAATTATGCTTAAATATTATTACAGGCAATTTGAAGTCGTAAGAAAGACACCGCTCGACAGTGCTTATTCATTATCAAACCCCACAAAGTTGCTTTTGCTTCTTTTTGCTCAGCAGGACAAGCAAATTCTGTGGCCAATTGATGACTAACTGTGAATATAAGCTCACAAATTACTAACTTATAAATCTTTGATGCTTTATTTTTTTTTTTTTTTTTACACCAAAATTACTAATTCAAAATTGCAGACGGCAATGGCGAATAATGGCAAAATGAGTGAATGAATGTATCAGGGTAAAAATACGCGAAATGCTGCGAGCTATCAATCAAAAAGAGCGCAAAAAGTGCCAGGCTGCATCCTAGCCACGAGCGTAAACGAAGATAAGACAGTACAGATAATCACTACAGGAAAGTGGTCGATTTTATATTTAAATTAAAGACCCATACCGCCAACTCGATACATATTCTGCGCCATGTTGCCCTATCGTTTGGTGTCGATTCGCAGTAGCATCTGCCAAAAATGCCTCCTGAAAAGCCATTTTTAACGTGACTGAGCTAACAGGAGGGCGACGCAGTGCCAAACAGAATGCACAGTGATGGCGGAGGCAGTGGTAAAACGCTGAAAATATGCCTGCGACAAGGAAGCGCACAATGACATGCCCGGCCATCGGGGTAAATGCAAAAAACAGCGCTATTCAAGTACATAATTTGCCGGCGCATACAGTCACCACTGATGTTCGAATGCTTCTTTTTCACCGCCTCCGTTAAGTGAGCTCTGGCAGGTCAACTATGTTGAAAGAATTAATGAAGCAAGTGAGCAGTGCCAGATTGACGACATCAATATTGTTCGATAAAGAGAATTTCATAACTTTCCAATGCCTGCCTCGAAATGCTGATTCTCGTTGGGGTAAGTTGTTCTGGAACCGTTTTCTTATTCGCGTTTCGCAACGGCACAGAGAGACGGTGCAGCAAGTACCGTACCGAAGTAGTTTCCACGCACCAAAAATACCGATAGCCCAATCAAATGTGCAATGAACTTTGACTGATGCACAAAGCAAATCGGCATCCCACGGTGCAAAGCGCTGCACCAAGGTATGGAACAAAAATCGACTGCAGCGCCTCCCGAAATATGCGTCGTCAGGTGAAATATGAGAACAGCCTGAATCTGCAAAGACGTGAAGTGAGCATAGCCGATGCGCGTGCTACAGCATGCCATGAAGCGTCACCGACGGTAAACATTCAGTCGTTCCCAACTGAAGTGCAGAGAAAGAGAGAGCGCAGATTTCTCAGTACTGGTCCTGGGAAGAGATCTCGGATGAGCTGACGCCCGATTTGGTCACGGAACTTTCGCCGCGTTCATCCGTTCTTACAACGATGCCATGTTCGTCCTGAGCGAGAATGCAGCCGCTGTTATACTGGATGCAGTAACATCGCAGCAGTTGGCGACACCATTCGAATAATTTAAATTTTCGACTTCTGGTGCAGCAGTGAAGTGCCGGCCGAAATTTAAGCTCACACAAGAATTCTGCAGGATAAAAAGCTGGCCCATAACTTTGAGCACTTGGCATGACACTTCGGGGCAACGAAAAACTAC